CACAAAACCACACCCCCAAACAAAAACATGTCACAGCCGGTCACCCCCCCCCCCCCCCCCCCCCCCCAATTGTCGTTTAAGGACCCTTGTCGATAAGCCGGTAAAATACTGACCTGCCACATGCTCACCCCTTGCTTGAGTGCTCACAAAAAAGTCACAGATATCAAAAAAATCCATGCCTGTCAAGTAATGCATAAAATATATGCGTTTTGTGTGTGTGTGTGTATTTGTGTGCGTGTGTGAGGGGGTGGGGGTTTGGGGTTTGGGGGGGGGTCGAAACTCCACATGTCACAACATTACTTTGCGCGATATCGTCTGGGTCTTACGCCTCGCCGTTGCATTCAGGGTGGCGCAGTTTTAGAGACCGTGGACCAGATGAATGGCCTGTGCAACGATACTGTGAGGAATGGCGCGGTCGAAATATGTGGCCCGTATCGTAGGGTTGGCTTTTTCATTTATCCTCTGCTACATTTGTCTCACATGGATTCCGAAATGTCGCGTACAGTCCGAGATGTCATGTGGATTTCGAAGACTCGCGTACAGTCTGAGATGTCCTGTGGATTCCGAAATGTCGCGTACAGTCTGAGATGTCCTGTGGATTCCGAAATGTCACGTACAGTCTGAGATGTCCTGTGGATTCCGAAATGTCACGTACAGTCTGAGATGTCCTGTGGATTCCGAAATGTCGCGTACAGTCCGAGATGTCCTGTGGATTTCGAAGACTCGCGTACAGTCTGAGATGTCCTGTGGATTCCGAAATGTCGCGTACAGTCTGAGATGTCCTGTGGATTCCGAAATGTCGCGTACAGTCTGAGATGTCCTGTGGATTCCGAATTGTCACGTACAGTCTGAGATTCCTGTGGATTTCGAAAACTCGCATACAGTCTGAGATGCCCTGCGGATTTCGAAATGTCTCGAACAGTCTGAAATGTCCTGCGGATTTCGAAATGTCTCGAACAGTCTGAAATGTCCTGCGGATTTTGAAATGTTACGTACAGTCTGAGATGCTATGTTCAGTCCGATTTTTCTTGCATAGTCCCACATGCCATGCTGGGGTCGTTACTGAAGTTGCTATCATTCAAACATGCTTCGATATGTCCTTTGAAAATTGATTTTTTTTTTAAGAAAAAAAAAGTATTAATAATGTATTGTTTCTGTTACCGCAGTTCCCCACCCAGAGGTTTGCTCGGAAGGCGTCATCAGCCAGTTCTCTGAGACTCAGTCCGCCACGGGTGAGTAGCGGACGTCATGTAAATTGATGGATCAGTTACGTAATTTTTAAGGGGAATTTAAAAACTATATATATTTCAGATAATGTATTTTGGACGGCGGTGGTTTGAAACGGCGGTGGTTAGAAACAGGGGTGGTTAGAAACAGGGGTGGTTAGAAACAGGGGGTAGTTAGAAACATGGATGGTTAGACACAAGGGTGGTTAGAAACAGGGATGGTTAGACACAAGGGTGGTTAGAAACAGGGATGGTTAGACACAAGGGTGGATAGACACAAGGGTGGTTAGAAACAGGGGGTGGTTAGAAACAGGGGTGGTTAAAAACATGGATGGTTAGACGCAAGGGTGGATAGAAACAGGGGTGGTTACAAACAGGGGTGGTTAGAAACAGAGGGGTGGTTAGAAACAGGGGGTGGTTAGAAACAGGGATGGTTAGAAAAGGGGGTGGTTTGAGACAAGGGGGTGGTTAGAAACGAGGTGGCTAGAGACAGGGGGTGGCTAGAAACGCGGGTGGGTAGAAATAAAGTTGATTGGAAACAGGGATGTTTAGAAATGGTGTGTTAAATAAACAGGAGTTGTATGTGCTGATCTAAAGGCTACGTGAACGATTACTTCAGAAATACACAATAATCCACACAAAAATAATAATAGCATATTTGCCTCGCCCCCCCCCCCTTTTTTTTCGCAGCGACAGAAGAGCAAAGCGGCCAGCGCTTCATCGCCCAGCTCGCCCGTGCGCCACTCGCACCACATTACGTCAGACTTCCGGTCGGAGGACGGCTGTGAGCACACCCAAGGTAGAGTGCGCCCCCAGAGCAACGGTCGTATGCATTTAGTTACAACTCTTACCTTATTTAACTTGTTGGTATTTCATCATGAAAATTAAACTAACTATACCATACAGCAGGTCTCAAACCTTATATTAAAGCCTAAAACGAAGAAATGTACCCCAAAAAAACCCATTAAAAAACAGCACAATTTTGAGAAGCATCGTATCTATGTTTAGAAAAATTACGTCATTTATTTCTTTTTCGACCAATCCCACAGGCTTGACTGTGATATCCACTTCTAAAAATAGCACCAGCCGGCCACAGCCGCATGCAAGCCCCACGAAAGCCGGGGCCCAGAATGGCGGTGGGGCTCGCCGAGCCCAGTCCCCTCCGTGTGACTACGCCGTGATCCAGAGGCGTCGGCCTCACGCGGCGGACGACTCGTGCGTGACGGTCGTGTCGGCGAGCAACTCCGGCAACCCGGCGTTCCGGAGATCGTTCCCCAGCGGCCACGTGACCAGCTCCTCCATGTCCATGGCCAGCGTCGTCTCCTCGATGATGTCGTCGGTGAAAGGCGGTAAGGGCGTGGCCACTAACATGGCCAACACCCCCGCGGCGCCGCCGCCGATGGCCGAGAAGAGCGGGCCGTCCTCGGCCACGTCCACGCCCGCGAAGAGCCTGAACAGTTCCCCGGGCACAACGGGGACGGCGCCCAGCACGACCGGCACGCCCACCAACACTGCCACGCCCAGCAAGACCACCGGGGGCGCGCTGAAGTACGTCGACGCCCAGCGGCCGTCCTCGGCTGTGTCCGACATGGCCAACCAGAAGAGCAGCAGCCCGAAGCACGTGCAGATCAGCGACATCGTCAGCGTCAACATCACCGGCACCTCCATCATCTCGAGCACCCCCACTGTGATACACCCCTGCGCGGACAAACCCAACGGGATCCTCAAGCGCGACAACAGCCTGAGGAGCGACAGGGCGGCCGCCGCCATGCAGAAACAGAGTCAGGTGACGTCCTTCGTCGCCGGCGACGACTTCACCTCTCCCTACGGGAGGGCTTCCTCCGATTCCCCCCCACCCCCACCGCCGGACGATTCAGAGCCGAGGCCCACGAAGTCCACCCTGAGGGTCGACACGAATCTCGGGACCCCTCAGTCCCGGAGCACGTCCTCCTCGGAGTCGCCGGAATGGCCGTCGCCGCCAGAACCTTTGACCCCGCAGACGCCACAGACCCCCAACGCGCCGGGTCAGATGTCGTTCGACAGCGACACCATCCAGAAGATGCTGCGGTCGCTGCCGTCGTCCCCGATCGAGAAGGACTACGCCAACGACCTCGACCTCGGCTTCCACGAAGAGTTCAACATCTCCGACGACAGCCAGCAGCACCAGGGCCAGGACCGGGACGGTGGGAGCCGCCGGGGCAGCCGGCTGTCCAGAACGAAGAGCCTGAATGTGCATGACCGGAACACGAAGACCGGCAGCAACCCACGCCGACAGCAGAGCATGGACACCCCCGGGGGCGCGGGACCCCAGCAGAGGAGCGACCCCTACAAGCCGAGGATGTTCAACAAGATCGCCCTGGAGAGAGAGCTGAAGAAGAGGAACAAGAACATTGCGGCCAACTACCCCGACAGCGGGATCGGGATGTCGACCGACGTCGGCCCGTCTCTGCGCAGTGACGGCAACTCTGCGTTCGTCAAGACGGGTGAGTTCATCCTTTGTTTTCACTTATTATTTCCCTTGGCGTGCTTGTCCCCGTAGTTGGAAAGATGGCAAATTTGTCCTTCTTAACCATCCTGATCGGGTGTTTCGGGGAGTTATCTATCCCCATCTACAATACAAAGGACTCCCATGAAATCTGCAACAATAACAATTTTTTAAAAATGTTTTTTTTTTAAATCTACAATTGAAATATTTAAAACCATACAAAAAAAATGAAAGTCTCTGAATGATAATATTATGTGAAAAACACTGTTTTCAAATAATTTCTGCCATACATGTATACACCTTTGTGAAAAAAATATAATTGACCATTTGGTAAATATCTCTTAAATATATCTTGCTTCTGGTGCGTCCTGCTTCCTCTTTTTACAACCAGCCACCAACTCCAAATATTTTATATTAAAACGCCTGAGTGGAAGGAAACTGTCTAGCAGCGACCGTCATTCGCGTGCATTCGACCGTTATTCGACCGTCCTTCGTGATGGTTGAACTCTGGTTAATTGTTCAAATTTTTTTTTTCTAAAGGGGTAGATGACTGTTATATTAATCCACTAAGAGCCACGATTGTGGTATAGGACTGTCGGTAGGACTGTTGTGTTAAAGGCCGCAGGTAGGGTGTAGGACTGTCTGTAGGCCTTATGTAGGATGTAGGACTGTTGGTAGGACTGTTGCGTTTAAAGGCCGGCAGGTAGGGTGTAGGACTGTCGTTAGGACTGTTTTTTCCAGGCCGGAAGGTGGGTTGCATACAACACTATCGACTAAAGGCCGGCTACTGTAGAAAATGAGAAGTTAACTTTGGTCGTAACACCTGGACCCAACGGGGTATTTTCTCAACGGGGTATTTTCTCAACGGGTTATTTTCTCAAAATATCCGGACCCGGTGTAAAAAAAAGCAAAAAAACAACCATTTAATCCCACGTAATCCTAGATTATTATTTCCTTGTCCAGATTATGTCTTTACGTGTCAAGATACACCTGATCTAATTTCCTACATATTTTTTTTTTTTTTAAATTTGGAAACATAATTGTTGGAAACATAACTGTTGGAAACATAACTGTTGGAAACATAACTGTTGGAAACATAACTGTTGGAAACATAACTGTTGGAAACACTTTTAACATAATGGTATGTGAGAGTCATTGAAAAGCATTGTGCACTCTTTTAAACCTGGGTCCTCTTGGTGAGTCCTTAAGAGAAAACAGCTTGGCAATTTATTTATTTTATTGAAGAGGAGAAAAATCAGCAGAGATTTCTACCCTTTAATAAATGTCTCGCATGTACAATTTTGTTTTAAAATTATTTATTTTTTCGCTTTTTGAGTTTTTAAGGGGACATAAAATGTAGGTAATAATTGAGCTAACTAATAATTGGGTTGTCTCCCATTTGAATTATTTTTTATTATATTCCACTCTTTTTACTTTTCCCGTTTTCCGTCTGTATCAAACGAATAAATCTACTAGTGTTAATGTCTATTTGTATTTATGTAATGTATGTATGTTCGTATGGTGTAAATGTTTTGTACGCAAAACCATTATTTTAGGGCAGTGGTTCTAAACCCTTCCTAAGGCCGCCATTTTTTATTACAGTTCCTCATGTTGTGGCGACCCCCCCCCCCTTTTAAACCACAAATTTATTTTAGTTGCTACTTCATAACTATACTGTATATGCCTTTTCCTGTGGTCTTAGGCGATCCCTGTGAAAAGGGTTGTTAGACCCCCCAAAGGGGTCACGACCCACAAGTTGAGAACCGCTGTTATAGGGGCCTGTTTAATTGATTATCTCATAAACACGTAGTCAGATATGGGCGTTGAAAATCATGCCCCTCTCAACTCGGGTTCATTAATTTTAGCCGGTCAAATTCAGTTTCCTGTCAGGTTCCATTTATTTTAATGATTTCCCTTTAGGGGGTGGGGGGTCTGGGCGTGGACTCTGAGGGGGGGATTGGTACCTGTGACCGGCCGAAAAATCCTGATCTGTACTTTATCGTACAGACAAGCGATATGCGTTTCGCTCGAGGCTACGTCCTTGAGTATAGGGACACAAGAACATTGTACAAGATTGGCAGCCGTTATTATTCCATGTAGATGTAAACAGAGAAGGAAAAAAAAAACACAGCCCCAGAAGCCTAGCTTCGCTCCGCTCCGCCAAGAGCAATGTCACGAAAAAAAAAAACCAGCTGTTCATTGTTTAGAGATGAGTACGTCACAGAGAATGGGGTCGCCCCTCTGTCTTGACAGCTAACATATCCGTGAGCGATTAACTCATCCTGTTTACGGCCGCCCTGGCGGTGAGCTCGTTAGCCGTGGGGGAGATGAGTGATCGCGTTGTTCATGTTACCTTCGCGAGCGGCCGGGGGGGGGGGGATTTGGGGGGGGAAAAATATGACATGGTTATTTCCACTCGATTAGCC